CCAGCAGGCGATGATGAGAAATGCTGGCGATGATAAAAACAAAAACACAATTGAGATATCTCGTGTCAGAGGTCACCTTACTGGGGTTTCATGTTGTTGTAATGACGCGTTATAGACACTAGATGGTTCTACATGTTGCAAAAGTGACAGATAAGAAACCACATTGATTTGTCCCAAAACTAAACTGTTTTCAGGCGTTCTGTCTTCCTTGTATTTATTTCCTTTTGTGGTGTTATAATATCAGTGTTATTCCAAGAATGAGGGCTGGCGCACACTGTCCCCGTATTGCACCCATGAGCCAAGCGAGGCCACAGAACAAGGCCCGTTCCGCCAACGCATCGCTTCGATAAGGATTGTTTTGACTCCTGTGAATTGAATCCGTTTCAAATAGCCTTGAGGGGTCACACAAAGCTTTGGCAAAGCACAGCAACTGGGCTCTATAACGGCAATGGAAGGAAGTAGAATAGGAATCTTAATTGAGCTACAATGTAGAATGCAAACAATTTTACATCTATGTTGGGCTATAAGCTTTCATATTTTTTTAAAAAAAAAAAGCATCATGTGTCCCCACACTGACCTTGGTTCAGCGTTTTGTGTGACTTTCACCAAGTGTGACTTTCCGCTGGACGTTGCATAACATGAGCGGCGAGCTCCTTCTCTTGTTTACCCGTTTCTGCTGACGTCCGATCGGTCTGCTCTGCTGACCCTTTATTCTCCCTCTTCAAACACACACTCGGGTGACCTTTCGCAAGAGGGGCATCCTCAAGTGGACACAGTCCCTCCGGTCCACCGCTGCATTCATTCAGGGGAACGAGTGTGTTTGGTTTGACTGACTTTCGACGAACTGTCCTTCTGAATGAATTTGTGAGTCAACGTTTTCGGCATTTGAGAATGTTTGCGCATCTCTTGTCTCTGCTGCGAGCAGGTTCGGAACACCAGTAGGACTGTCATAGATTTCCATCTCTGTGGCGGCGCATGAGCTGGACAATGAGGTTAGTCGCTTCATTACGTTACACTTTTAATGAGGTGAAATCATCCAGGCTGGGTGAGCCTGGAGGTGCAGGGAGGGGGTGAAATGGGCGGCGCGGGGGGGATGCCAACAAAAGCAGCCAAAGTGTGGGAGAGTTAAACAGAGACGGTTGACAAAGAGAAAAGGGGGATGATTCACAATTCCGAGGCCGACCCATGGGATTAAAAATAAAGGCTGCGCGCCGTGACGGTGCTGACACAACTCACAGATTGCAAATCCAGATCAAGGCCATGCATGCTTGATGGCTTGTTTGAAGACTTGAATTGAATAAAACGCTAACAAATACTGCGATATTGTAATGTTATTGGCGACGTCATTCAAAACATCTGCACAATGGTCTGAAAGACTCAATACGAGGGTTGTATCAAAAATCCCCCCTGTTCAAATATAAAATTTCACTGACAATGTCAGATGGATGTATTATTGTGGCGCATACTTTTATGTTATCACTCTTATTATTGTTGTTATTTCAAAACATGAGAACGTTTGAAAATGTACAAACTATTTGCTCACCTACTTATTTGGATACAGTACAGACCTGATCTACTTGAATCCACTTGTTCTGATCCATTGATGGAGGTCACGCCCATGAGTAAGCAAAACAAACAAGTCATCAGTTCAACCATCTGGTCCAGAGTGCCGCATCAGAACGCGTCCCACTGCTTGTCAGCTTATACAACTAACCACACCCGAACCCTGACATAAACCATTCAAGACATAATATAACGAACGCGTTTTAACATTGCAGCAAGTCTGGAACCCCGCAGCTATTTGCGCGATCTTCCCAATATTCATATTGATGTTGCGCTCATGTTAATGTGCAAATAGCCAGAGTGTTTACTTTGCGAGCTGTGTTGTTGCAGGCTGTCCAAAATAAAAGCAGCTGTTACTCACCTATGAGTATCTTCTTCAGGGCCCAGGAGGTCTGAAGCTGCTTTGCATCTTTGCTGCTCCTATTTATACTGCAGCAGATAAAACTGGGACATGCAAACACGTGACTCATCAGACCGTTATCGAACTGCCACCTTTCATACTGGAAAATGTTTCCGGCGATTCCCTTCAAAATAAAAGTGTCGTCATGGTGTCTTGTTGGTGTCATTGTATAAAAAAAGACAAATAATGAACAGATGAGCTAGGTCATTCGTTGATGAAATGTGCATGTATAATGTGTAGAATATCTAATAAAATATCATACAGACCAACATTTTATAAACCAGTGTGCTGTTGCCCTCGGCCGTTTTGCAGCCCGAAAAAAATTCTCCAGTTTAATTTCCCACCCCCTTCACATTTTTTTTCATTTCCATATAACTGAAATGGTTATTTTGAAAGTCTGAATGCAATTCCCTATTGTTCGTTTGTCTACTTTACATCCAAGCGTCTGAGGACTTTTCCAGAAATGTCGTAATTTACTGGCAGTGCAAGACAGAAATGTGCACAAACATTGGATTCATGCCGCTCATGACGACGGTGACTCAACGCATAATGGTACAACCAGCTCCTTTCCCAAAAGTTGAATGAAAACCACAAACCACAATCGTTTGTCGACGAAAACAACTCCAATGAAAGAAGTGAAGGTGGTGCACCGAAACACAACAATAAAATCGATTTTTAAAATACAAACTAGACTTTTGATTATTTCGGCATTTGCTAAGGAAAGGGAATGATGCACATGTTCCAATAAATTCCGCCTCTGCGTACCACACTTGGATGAACAACTTTCAAACTTGTTTTTCGTGTGCGGAACCTGCACTTTTCAACTGGGTGTTATTTGCAAACATGACACTAGATGGCAGCAACGCTCGACTCTGAGAGATCATCGAACAGTCCTGTTGAGACATCGAGGCTTGAAATTTCACAATTGATACCTACTTTTGAGGGCTTAGATATAAAGTAAACGATGTACAATATACACCTAACTTTAAAGCATTGGTCTTTACCCTTTATCTCAGGAGTGGGCAAACTTTTGTGCTCAAGGCCGATATTTGATATTTTTTAAGAAAAAATGGGCCAGGTGAGGCAACAAAGTAACACGTTTGGGCACAAAAACGCCTTGTTGTGCTTTACTTGCTCATTGGGTCGAATGTGGCCCCCGCGGCTATAATTTGTCAACTCCTGATTTGCAACAATAACCAATACTGTCAGGTCTTCATTTGTGCACCTGAGACAAAAGGTAACTTTAATCCCTGCCGCCAGTCTTACAATGACATGCATGTGTGTCTCTAATGGCGAGAGTTGGAAGCGGCATAGAAGCTGAAACACATCTGGACTTTGCATTTGTTAGTGTCGCTGGCTTGCCAGCCACAGATCCGGTGTGACTAAACAGAAAAGCTGTTGCGTGACCCGTTGCTAAGTGTTGTTTTGCTCCATTTTGTGGGTAGGTGTTGTGTGTGTGTGTATGAAAGAGTCCAGATGGTTCACAGAGGCAGTGGATTTATGCAATCAGAAAATTGGGGCTATTTACACAGCTTTTAAGGTTAAGGCAGTGATTCTCCACTGTTACCACCCTGGCCTGGGACCTGCTTTTTCCTTTTGCTGCTAAAAACCTTCTAAAGAAACTGAGGATGAACATGACAACTGTGAACGGGAATATGGCACAATTCAATATTTCAAATGCACACATTTGTTAAACGTATGAGGGGTTGTTTAAATGCTGCAGGAAGTTCTGTCCGATAATTTTTTTCACAACCTGTCCACAACCCATTTTGGGGTCCTGGCTCCCTAGTTGAGAATCACTGCTCTAGAGGGGGTGTTTGTCCAACTGGCCGACCACTGAACTGAAATGGTCTCCATGGTTGTTGATGAGGGTCTGCAGAGAACTGGCTTAACTGATGGCACGAATTTCAACACAAATTTCTTAATGAGTCACCTCTGGCACACGGCGCAATTATCACCGGCTTAATAGGCCCCCTGGGTGATATTGACTGAGCCGCCACTGATTGGCTCCAGATGGACTTCAAAAAAAAAAAAAAAAAAAAAAAAAAAAAAGCATCTGGACTGATTCTGGTATCAATTTAGCTTCAGCTTTGTGTCGGGTGACATGCATGAGCGTGTTTGCGTCGGAATGTGCACTGATTTAGAAACGCGGCACGATATAATTCTTCATGATCAAAGGACAGCTGAGAGATGTTTGTCACTGGATACGTTTCTGCTGTGCAGAATGGAACCCGAGGCCTCGGAGCAATTCAGCGATGTCGACGTCACCCGAAAAGGACGTTGAATTGAAAAACAATTGGCTACAGTCACTGCAGAGAATGTCCTCCAGGGCATTCATGCTTTGCTTCATTAAAATGTTTTCTTGAATAGTTTTTGCCCGAGTTAGACGACTGCAACTGCAGCTTTGTGGCGATCTACTTTAGCAGATTTTTGGGAACATTTAAAGGAACAATTGGCTGGTCTGCATCACTTTCTAAAGTACCCCATCATTTTTTTGTGGTTCAGTCCACACACCTCACATGTTAAACTAACACCTCAACGGGTGTCGTGTGAGAGGTACTCGTACGACACTTTAAACACTTGCAGGGGTTCAGATAAATCTATGACTATTTCTTATTATTTGACTCTAGTCAGCAATGGTATGTGTGTCCCCTTCTCTATGGGTCTTCAGTGTCAGCAAAGATGCTTGGAACATGACTAGACATTACACCATGCTGAGTCAATATTGTCATTTTTTTTGGTGATTTTCTAATAGCACCTGCTGTCAGTTTTTGGGACTGCACTCTGGAGGTCAGCAAAATGAGAAGAGCTCCAGAATGGAATTATGACTCTGGTATGTGCAGGTGTTCCCTTCGAGATATTTCCTAGTGTTACTTTGTAAGTCCTCATGTATTCAAGGTGCTCATTCCTGTCATGTCCAAACATTTGTTAGTCATTAACTGCCGCAAAAGACAAGGACCCTCCCCTTTTTTACCCCTTGCTTTTTTTTTTTTTGTCCCAGTTCCAGGCCCTCCCTCATGTTTCCAGTTTCTTTGTTTCCCTCTCTCCCTCTCTCATTTTTTTTCTTCCCTGCTTCCTCCCTCCCTCTGAAAGTTGCCCATGGACTCATTCTGCAGAGGTTTTAGTCTCCTCAGGCTCTGGATGGGAGAGGGATGAGATCACAGAGCTCCAATCCGATGCTCTTTTAGCACTTCAAACACTAATATTGTAACTCATCTTACGGTCAGACCACTATTCAACTAGATATGTTTTACCCATTTTAAGATGCAAATGAATGAGCTTGTTTTGCAGCATTTTTTTAACCCAAGCAGCACATTGAGGAGGTTTGGGACTTTCACCACTTTTTTTTTTTTGGGGGGGTGGCGGGGGGAGCTGGGAAAATGAACGCAGATGCCTCAACCTGCTGACTACTTTAGCTTCACCTGCTCTCGTTCGTTCTGACCACAAGCGTCAAGCTGAGCATCAGCGAGCCTAAGTGAGGAGCCATGAAAGGTAAAGTGTACTTAGAATGTGTATGTATATATTTTTGGGGATGGACATAATATGGAAAATGATATCAAAGGGGGTAGCACATGTCAATGTGCTTCGCACCTTTATGATGTTCAGCGTTTGAATCTCAGCTCCCCTGCATGGAAAGTGCATGTTCTTCGAGTACCTGCGCGAGCTTTCTCTGGGTACTCCTGATTTCCTCTCACATGAGAACATGCATGCTCCACATAGAGCCCGTGACCTCAGAACTGTAAGGAAGACCCGCTAACCACTCGGTCACCAGGCCGTACAGGTTTAATACAATTTTACTTGATTGGACCAGTTTTATTTCTCGACCAAAGCGATAACTGATCATTTTTTTCCTCTCTCTATGCTCGTGGCATATAGTGACAGGCAGAAAAATGAAACGGCTATGTAACCGGTGGACCAAGGGCCATTGACGGCTTGGTTGTTTGTCTGTGATGTATGTGCTCCTACGATTGGCCGGTGATCAGTCCAACTTCTTCCTAAAAGTCAGCTTGAATTGGCTCCAGCTCACCCGCGACCATAATGAGGACAAACAGTATAGAAAACGGATGGCTGAATATCCTAGCAAGCTACCTGCCTTTGCAACATGGAATCCGGCACCTGTAAAAATAGCACATATGCGTCACATCAACCATCCTGAGAAAGTACTACTTTGTTGATCTTGGGTGGGAAGCTACAATTTGTCAGCTTTTTCAATGTCTGCGTGTGCGTGCTTATTACATCTCGGTGACTTCGACAAAAGTGCTGTGTGCCGCGGCCAGATTTCCCCACATCTTGACTCCTCTTTAAGAGAGCAAGAGAACATAAGGTTTGCAGCAACGTGGTATGAAGGGGAAAGTTTGCCAAGTTGGGGGGTGGGGGGGGGGCTTAGCGGAGGGCAGGAGCATTACATGATTCCCACACGAGCTCTGTGCTGAGCCACAAAGGTTTGACTGAAAGCCCAACAGAGACTTCAAGGATACAGTTGGGATGAGGAAGTGGGAGGGAATACCACATGTGGGCTTACAGCTTGAAATGATGTAAGTCTGTTTATCATTGTGCACAAAAAAAAAAGAGCAGATGCAACTGTAGCATAGCTAAATCGGGGGCATTGCAGAGTAAAATCCAGCAGTTGGCGCTGTTGGTTCTTTCATCCCTAATGCGAGATTAATTTTATATATAATACAGACTAACTGGCTCAAACGCAGCAGTGAGAATAAATGGGACATTGGTCTACGCCGGTGTAGGTAAGAACGTATCCTATGAGCTCTTCATAGCAACTAGTGGCCAAGAATAATAATCATCATCATCATCATCATCATTTAATTCGATTTCGACAGTGCATTTCAAGGGAGCTAAGATGCCTGACATTCACATGGCTATGGAAATTTTACTGGCTGTTTTGGTTGATAGTTAACATTTTTTTTTTCCCAAAATTTTTTTATTAAACCACAAAGAATTTTTGTTATCTGTGTGATTGCAGTTGGAAAGAAAATGGAATCTGAAAGGAAAACCTTGGCGAACAAAAAACAAAAAAAAGTCCCAACCACTGTTCGGGAGCGTCATCTATCCACAGTGAAGTTATTTAGTCAGGTCATATACCAGCACGGTGTTTTTTTTTTCCATTGCAACAGATGGTTTGTGTCAAGGGATGGCTTTTTAACATCCTCAAATAAAGCCTCACCTTTTTCCAAACTGCCTTTGACCTTCAACTCCGAGCCCGTGGAGTGGGACGCGTCTGTTTATTTCCAGTTCCTGTTATTATGATAACCTTGACAACCCAACCGCACTGTTTTCCTTATTTCTATGCCGGACGTTTCATTTGTGCTTTTCCTGTTTAAACACGTAGGCAGGAGTAAATATCATCCGAATACCTGAGTGTAATTAACCTTTTCTGGCTATCTCGTTGCTATTTCAGTGGTCCCGTGCAGTTGTTCGTCACAGAACGATTATAAGCCGTTTCACATGAAGTGAGATTGTGTTTGGATTTGGACATTGCCAGTAAATAGTAATCACGCCCATCTTGCTCTCTTGGCGTTCTGGCGGGGTTGGTAAAGTGCTCTGGAGCTACACGGCGGCACGGCAAATGAACTCAAAAAGAACACGCAAAGCGTGTTCCTCAGCCAAAGACTACAGCAGCTACTTTGTATGTTGATGTGGCTTCCCAGAATTTTTTTTTTTTTTTTCTGAGGGGCGAGTCCAGCTCAGTTGACCCGGAGCTAAATATGCTGCCTCATACATTCTTCACACAAAGGGGGGGCTCACAGTGGGAGAGTCTCAGGATGATGGACAGGCGTGCCTTTTTAGGGAAAGAGAAAGAGAACCCCATGGGTGCTGTACGTAACTTATTACCCGATATCTCTATGATTTAACACTCCTTCCTAAAATAATGGCCGATGTAATACTTTTTTTTTTCTTCTGAACCAAATACCAACTATATCATTTTTCGTACTGAATTTATGTTCAACAGTGGATTTGCGTGATTTGTTCAAGTGAGGATGTAAAGGATTTTGAGCAACATGATGAGTACATGAAGCCATTAAATCATTTTTTTGTACCCCAAAAATGGCTTGAGCCATATTTCTCTCTTCTCTCAGAGGCTCGGTCTTGCTGCCAGAATATGCTGCCTGATACATTCCTCACAGGATTGGGGTAAAAAAAAATAAAAAAAAATGGCTTCAACTATCGAGGCTCGTTCTCACTCTTTCCCTTTTAAAGTGACAACACGACACATTCACAGGTTTGAGCTCTTCAAATATCCCAACCACTGGAAGAGAACCTTCACTTCTCTATTCATAGTTCAGGGCAACAAATTCCAAATATTTACAGTTGTTTTGAGGAGACCACACGTACATTCAAGTCCGAGGTCTTCTAAATAATCAACTGTGCGTCCAAGCCTCTAATCTGACTTGGAGCATCTTTGGAGTCCTGCTTTCATTTACATCTCGGCTCAGTAAGAGTTCAAAATAGGAAAGGATAGTTGTTACCGTGCATGTCCGTAAACACAAACAGTCCAACTGTTGCCCAACATTCTCAATCGTGGGTTAGCCGTCCATTTGCAAAACCCCGCACAGGCTCAAACGAGCAAAGCCGATTGACAGAGAAGAGCGGGCTCGTCATTTTTAGAAACTGTATCCGACGTTGTGGTTTACAGTTGCGTGGAATTTGTCTGCGTTTCACAAGATTCCAACCTTGCTATTTTCATAGGTGCGTTGCACCGCCACAGAGCGCCATCTGCGCCGCTTTGCCCACTTGCAATAACAGTCGAACCCGGGTTGGCAAAAAAACAAAGCCCCTTCGCAGTAATTCCCTCCAACTAAGTGATTTTGATGTAGCTGCAAAATATGTAATACACCAGAGACACTTGTCACATTCGTGACACAATAGTTATCCGGATTATTATTCGCTGTAAAGTAAGGCATACAAAATCACTGTTCAACAATAGCGACCGACCGTATATCCTCAAATCGTAGCCTGTGCTCTAATAGAGACCGCGTGTCGTCACTTGAACAAATCAGCGAGTTCGTCTTCCCCCTCTTTGCCCTACGCGCTACCCCAAGGCAGACCAAAGCCGCAGACGAGTATTGTATTATTGAGAGGGACTAGGAATAAAAACAATGCTTGCGGTTTGACGCATTTTCTGCCAAATGTAACACAGAAAAGGCAATTTTCCCATCCACCAATAAACTGACAAATAAAGGCCTCCTCTCATAAAGAGACCTCCTTCAAATAAACGCCTCGTTCCTCCTGTCGTTCAGCAAATAAAAGCCATTAGCACTAGCTAGCTACGGTTTTATAGGATCCATTCCACAAATATCATCGATTGAAAACACTCGATGAGACACGATGTCTCTCCAGAGCAGAGATGCGAGCTACTCTTTACTCTCATGGAGTTCATCTGGTTTGTGCTGGATCCTGCACCGGCGCTGAGTCAGAAAAGGAAATGTTTCAATTTATTAGACTTAAGAGCAGACATTTTCCAGCCTTGGTGGTAAAACCCTTTACACATCGTCGAAGTCTTTTCAAGGCTAAATTGTGCACTTGTTTTGCTCCCCATCCCGTTTTCCATCCATGGTCTGGACACAACGTGGATGTTTGCTATGCTGTGCACAACGGTGCGTTTATTACATAATGTTACGTGTCAAGCTACAGTTCTATCGTTTGACAACTAGGCACGGCTTGTACTCTGCAAAGACCAAAGTCATGGGACACTTGCAATCTTAATGCAATCATGTTAAATCATAAATGGCTGTACAGGTTCCATTAAAAAAAATAATAAAAAAGAGGGGTCTCACTATTGCTATTCAAGCTAGCTATGTCATACGTACACTCCAATTACATGCAAATGGCCACTTATTCAAAAAGAGCTCAATATATTTTTAGTGGTTCCACATGGTTTGGCTGTGACTTAGCTGCTTAGGTGTGACTTTGCACAGGCCCTGTTGTGGTGCCGCTGTCAGCTCAGCACCGCTATGTGTGTGTTGGACCCGTCCGCTTCCTCACTAACGAGTCAGACGGGAGGACTATTATTTTTTTTTTTTTTCGCACAGGGAGAAATGAAAACATGAGCAAAGGAGAAAGGGCCGGTGTGGTAGAGGGTGGGAAGACACCCAGAGCCGACAAATATTTGAGGGTGGATACCCAATTAGGTCATAAACAATGTGCTGATGATACTTTAAATTTGCAGGCCAAGTCCAAAGAACCACAATAGTTAAGTGCTTGGATTAAACCAGAATGCGAAAAAGGAAAACCCTCAAGTATGCATTGTGGATGCGACTTGAAGAGTTCCTGCTGCTGTACCTGATTTGAAGAATCTGGTCACGGCATATGGTTCTTTTACGGTCAAATATTTACATACTACCGCATATGCTTATCTTCTTGGGTATTATTATTTTTTATCATGATCATTTTTGATTGTCATCACTCTTTGGTTGTCGTGGTCTCTCTTTTTGTATGGTGTCCTCCTTGCCCACATCTGCAGCCGCCAGCAGATGTACTACTGTGGCCGCAAGTAAACGTTCTCACACTGAATGAAGGTCACAGTGTAGAATGTCAGGCGTTCGATTGACTTAGCAGATTTTGTGCATGATTCGCACTCTGGGAAAAGAGGTGGGGGAAAAAAAAAAAGAATCTGGAACAAAAATCTTCGAACATTGCACCTAGAACTGCTGAAGGAACGTTTTACTCTCTCTGTCCGGGCTGAAAGATTTTTCAAATAGGCCATGCATGTAAGACTAAACTACTCTGTGTTTTCGCTCTCGAAATTGAATAACATAGAAAAGCCTTGCATGTATTTTGGTGTAATATTAATTACGTTTCCATGAAAAAGTGCCAATGTTGACCTGCAGTCTGTGACGTGTCTACAGTCATTACATAAGCATAATTTAACAGCATAACAAGTTTCTCATCATTTGCCCGCCCCTCCCCTTGGAAAGTTTTCAGGTTTTCTTGTGCGTCTGCTATGTGGTTTCCTGACCTGACGTCATGTGCACATGCTTCAATGCGTTACAGTATTTAGATTTGTGTGTGCTGTTCCATGCAGCGGGATTCTTACATCTTTGTTACGTCTTTCTTTCCTTGACAGACAGCTACGGAGGATATGAGAACCAGCTCTTTAAAGGTAATCTGAAGGTTCGGTCTTTTGTTGCAGCATTGATTGATGTGAGAGTGGGTGATGGAGTCAGCTGTGATCATGAGCAGATGGATCACAACGAAACATCACATCTTGTTTTCAATCGTATGTTGCAGAGGAGGAGATCAATGGCGAGGAAGAGGATATACCGCCATTCAGAGGTGAAGGCCGCACGCACACAAGTGGATTCACAACTTGTGAGCCCAAATCGATTGTTTTGCATGATATGTGAGCTATGCAACACTGATCTGGAATACGTCCATGTGATGCCGTGCGCAGGTCGCACTCGAGGAGGTTGTGTGAGGTGCCGGCAGAGTCATTCCCTCCAAGTGGCTGTCAAAATCCTTTACGCATTAGTGGCATTCCTGATCGTCATTGTGGTAGTGCTGGCATCACTCGGTGAGTTATGATTGATTTGTGAAATGAAATACAATAAGGCGACAGGCGAAAGCTTTCATGGGACAATTTGATATGGTGGTGATATCGTGATACAGTTTCCCCAAACTGCTCTTTCTCTAGTGTTTAGGAAGGTGGACTATCTTTCCCAGGAAGAGCTTGTCTATGAAAAGAAGATCGCCAGCGCTCAGAAAGCCCTCGACGGTAATCCTCCTCCGCTGTGCATCGTACCCACTTGTTTCCCAGGCGGTCTGTCTACATAAATGCCCATCTTGATCTTTCAGAGATCACTAACTGCTCAGGTTGTCTGGATGTGACCCTGTACAGCGAGGAGATAGCTCGGCTCAAGCAGGAGTTTGAGGACATCCAAAAAATGCTCCTGGGACAAGAGCAGGTATCTTGGGACCACCGCAGAATTGAAATCCTCTTGTCCAATGACATAACAAGGATTTACAAAATATTCATGCCGGCGATATAATGCTTGCTGTACCTCTCAGGTCCTGGACCAAGCCTCTCAGACTCAGACCAAGCTGACAGCCACTAGCAAACAGCTTAGCACAGATATGCAGACCCACGTCATGTCCATTAAGTTTCTCAACCAGTTGCTGGTGGGATACCAAGACCAGGTAGAGGGCTGGAAGGACGTGCTGGAGGAAACGGAAGAGAGAATGAAGACTCTGACAGAAGATCAATATGATGTCAAAGCTACTGCGCAGCAAATCAACACAACAGTGGCACTGAGGTGAGTGGAACGCTGTGAGACGTGCAGGCGCGGGTCAAAATTCTTGCTCATCTATAATAGGCGGAAGCGGTCATTGGTTGACGGTGGACCTGACGTGTAAAATTCCGCGGTTCTGGACAGACATGCCGATGAAGAATATGCAATCCAAGAAGGCCCCCTCGGTTGACTGTTTTAAATCGATGGCATAGAAATGTTTTGCGCACAAATAGTCACGGCAATTATGACTTTGTCGTCTGGCGACATCTGACGTCCAAATCTTTACGATAAACCGAGGACCCCTTGCACATGTTGCTGACATTTTAGAAGCCTCTGAGTCAGCACTGGTTCACTTTTGAAGGACCACATATGGAAATCATTTGCTTTGCGGCCAGAATCCAAGAAAGAAGAACAGCAATTCCAGACTGAAACTCCAGTTGATGGACCTTGTCATCCATATGTTCCTTTCATTCTTTCCACGTGCACGATATTAACCGGGAACATGTATTTCCTGCTGACATCTTAGCTGTTGTCATCGCAGAAAATCATTTGTCGATGTGATCTATCCTCTGTAGTACGATGTGGATCGATGCCCTGCAGAGGAAATCAGACGAGGAGAGTTTGGTCCTCCAGAAGTTGACCAGTGACTGGCAGAACTACACTCAAGTTCTGGGCATGATTAAATCCAATGCGAGCAGCAACACCCAAATCTTACGGTCCCTGCAAAACAATATCGTCGCGGACCACCAGAGAATCTCCATTTCCTCGGAGATGTACTACGAACTCAGTCAGCAGGTGCTTGTTTCTGAATCTAATGTTCTCATGTAAAGTGGTTTGTTTGAGTTGGATAATTTAAAATTCTGAACATTTTCACTAGTCGTAGGAGGGCTCAGTACCTATCCCTGTGAATAGGAATGTCAAAGATGATGTCATGTCCTCTTCAGGTAATGAACCTGCAGGTGCAACTCGACAACGTCACAACTTCCATGGACGAACATGAAGAGAACATGCACGACCTGCACTACCATTCCAAGTATGTTCGGCACTGCAGTTAATCCCCCGTTTATCAATTATAGATTTGCCCGTAGATTTGCCACTTGCCACGGGGAATGCAAAAAATACTTATAGGCGTATATTCTCTCCTCACTGGGTACAATGGCAGTTACTGACCCTTCTCTGGCTCTTATTACTGACCCTTCTCTGGCTCTTATTCGTGCTCTGAATGACACCACATCTCATACCAGTGGACCTCAGTGGTGCCCACAATTTTGTGTTACCACTCTGCAGGCACACAACTCAAAATTCAGACTGAAAAAAACCCCCATACAAAACGGTTATCATCAACATTAGGTACTACGAAAACCGGACTGGAGAACGTTTCTTGGCTTTGGATGGGCGTCTGAACTCCATCGAGATGGAGATTGAAACCATCTCATCCAGCATCAATGCCACCGTCAGTCATGTCCAGAGCATGTACAAGTACATCAACATTGAGAGCTCCACCTGCCAGAGCCGCCTGAGCAGACAAATCGAAGATATGCAGGTCGTGACAACACAGAAACACCAAATTGGTTCTGATGGTTTAGACAGACCGCATCCTCACGGGTTTTTCTCTCTCTCGCTCTCTTGCAGAACTTAAACAGCAGCGTCTTGTTACTTCTGAACTCCGCGGACGCACTGAGGCAGGAGCACATGTTGTTAAATGTACGTCTGGATGTGGATGTCAGGAACTTGTCCATGGTGATGGAGGAGATGAAGCTGGTGGACACTCACCATACGCAACTGATCAAGAATTTCACGATATTAAGAGGTAGAGTCAGTGTGGTGTATAAAAAAAAAACCCGTCTCACTTTCACGCATTCATCCACCCACAGGTGCTCCAGGACCACCCGGCCCTAAAGGTAACCGCGGAGAGACTGGGTCAAAAGGACCTCTAGGACTGACCGGGGGGAAAGGTGATCGAGGCCCAATAGGAGGCCGTGGATCGCAAGGAGAAAAGGGCTCTTCTGGGCCGAGAGGTGCACCTGGTCAACCTGGCCCTAGTGGCAGTCGAGGGGCCATAGGTAACACAGGACTTAAAGGGGGCCCCGGCCAACCAGGACCACGTGGTGAAAAGGGCCAGAAAGGTGATATGGGTCCACTTGGTAAAACCGGGGTCCCGGGACCAAGAGGTCCATCAGGGATCCAGGGCCAAACAGGACTACCGGGTATAATTGGACCGCCGGGGCCCAAAGGGAAACCAGGACCAACTGGGGCCCCCGGACCACCAGGAACTCCTGGGCCTCCAGGAGTACCGCACTCCCTTGATCAATCCAGGACGCAGCAGAGAAGCCAACCTGCTGCTGGAGCCAAAAGACAGTAACCAACTAGATTTGGACATGGACTCGGGAAAGTTCATTGGAACAATTCAAGAGGTGGTACTCCACCCAATCGAAAAGACCTGATTAAAACAGGACCTTTGAAAATGACGCGGATGAATATTGCCAACAAGGGTAGAGAGCACTACCTACAGACTGAACATCATCTGACACATTGCATTATTGTCTTATATCGGTTGTCTTCAGCCACCTTGCAAAGATAGATCATAACAAGTGTGTGTGGGTTTTTTTTCCAGGGTAAAACACACAAGTAAGCAATCCTAAAACATGGCTGTTATTGAACTTCAATCAGGTGATGATGAAGATTGTTGATGCCCCGGAGGATTACGGCTAAATTCAAACAGAGTAGTCTTGGTTCGCGCCTATTTTCTTGATGCCAAAGCACATTTCCTTTGAAGTGCTCGCATCACAGAAAGCTGACAAATTGGTCATTTTGTGGCTTTTTCGGAGCAGGTACTCTGAAGATGAAATTAGCATGTGCTATGTCAAGTTGAACAATTCATTTTCAACGCTCCAATGGCCATGGGCAGTTTACAATACTGTATGTACAATGGTGCGCTTTAAAATGTCATTTTTGCTTCAGCGTTTGTGCAAATACAAATGCCAATATAGATATATATTTTTTTTTGCATAGTTTATTATTGAACATTTAGAACACTATGCTGGTTAAAAGCAAGGAAAATGCGGCAATTATTTGCCTTTTTTTTTTTTATCCAGTTGAAAGTGTGAACAAAAACTCTTGATTCTGGCGTTGACGACAACTAAGGCTAATCAGCGAAGCGCTCACCACAAAACACATCATATGGGTCGTTTTTCCTCAAATGGGAATAAGGTCTGAAGTATTTTGTCCACAGACTAAAAATAGCATTATATACTAACCCAGTTTGTACTTCTGCTGTGACAGTAGACTCATCACTTTTCATGTTACACCTGGAAACATCCTTTCTCTCAAAGAAATAAAAACACAAATAGAGAACCTTACTATTTCTTTTTTGTCATAAAAGTGAGTGCCGTCATGAAATGCAACTGGCTTGCACTCAACAATAAAAGTAGACGTTGAAGCGATGGTCTCGCTTGTATCCGACTCGCAGAACATGATTATTGTTGCCCTCCGAAGGAAAGGGAGCGGCTTTATTATTAACTCAAAACACATGTCGGTGGCTCCCCTCGCATTTTTTTGGTTTTCCGCCTCTGACTTAAAGAGATTGTCAAAAATCGCACTGTGCCAGTGACTCTACAAAAAAAAAAAATGTATACCGCATAATGCAATGTAATGGAAAGCACAGCATCATAAATGTAAGCAGGCCTATCTGGCAGATATTTCTCATTCTCTAATGTCATGCCGATACCCCCCTCCATTTACAAAGGGTCGCAATTTTCTTTCATTTTTCATTACACTTGAGACTTTCACCCCATTGCCTTGAATCACGACAGGGATTTTTGAGATTTCATATCACTCAGAGTAATGTGCAACACTTCATATTTCAGACTGTCAGGCAGCCACAATCAAATTGAGGTTCACTTAAGAAATATGGGAAATTTCGAAGGGGGAAACCTCCTGAGTGTTTATATTGGCAGGAATCTGCTCTTATTTTCATTTTTCCTCCACTGTTCTTGTATTGGCAGCTACTTTTGAGCGTTATCATATTGCAAGAGGTTGAAGTCCAATAATCCCATTCCCTGAAATCCTTCATATCATTTCTCTCGCAGAAAACTGTACTGTAGTCCAACAGAGGGGAGAAAGGGGGTGCAAGTTGGCTCCCAAACAAGTCCTCAGTGCAAGTTCGTGTCGTAACCATCTGCAACAAGCCCAGGGAGACAACTCGTTAAGTTTTCGCTTCCTCTGTGGACATTTCCTCTCCCCGTGCGCTCTTTGTGCAGCACCTACAATTTCCCCAAAAGACCTGCCATCTGCTCCCAATGAGCCAGTCCATTAGCACGCACGCTAACTAACACACTCCCGCAGTCCAAGATGTGCGCTAAATGCAGAGTTGACAGGCCCCCAAAGAGCTTTTTACATTGGCAGCTGAAACAACGCAAGCCTTCCAAGGTTGCTATTATTCTGTTTGTGTGTGAGCGATGACAGGAATCACACCTGCTGCTGCACAACGCCGCTGACTCTCAGCAAAAGGTGAGCAAAGACCAAGAACTGTGCGTGGCGAATGGACACCATCATGGTTCACCAACAGAAACCTGTCCGGTGCAGCCTCGGGAAGTTTCTAATGGGACTCTACCAAGGCCAACAGTGGGCGGATTTGTCGCTTCACACTTTCCGACCGCTTCAGCCAGTCTAAGAGTCTGACCCACAGGCTCATTTATTCCTGCTGGCCACAGTTCTTAAAAAGTGGGGACCATTTTGATTTACTGTCTTAACTAAGCTTGCTTAGCACTACAAAATGCTACTGAAAAAAAAAAACAAAAAACAAAAAAACATCATGTAGTTGTTTGGAATTGGTATGAGTTGTTTATCTATGTGTGCCCTCTGATTGGCTGGCAACCAGTTCAGGGTGTCCCCCACCTATTGCCCAAAGACAGCTGGGATAGGCTCCAGTACACCCCCGGTCCTCATGAGGATAAGCGGATTAGAAAATGGATGGCTAGATGGACGGATGTTGCTTTGAATGAAAGTACTCTAAATTATTACATATCAATTTTTATAAAGCTCTGCTTTCAGAAATGGTGTCAATGAACTCCATCTCAATAAAGATCCACACACATCCACATGCATACAGTATACCAGAGGACTTGAGATGCAAATAACCCCCCCCCCCCCACACACACACACACTAAAAATGGATCATTGATGACTCAATGGCATTTCCGAAATCATAAGCGTTGACAAGTCTTCAGTCGCACGGAGGAGCAGCAGTATAAAAACCACTCCCTCATTTCCCTCAGTGCGTTTTAGAAATAACAGAGTCCAGCTGCAGCTGGCTTAAACTGACGCCTTTGGACATTTTGCAAATGTTCTGTTCGCACTCGCTGTTCTCTCCCTCTCTGATTTAGCGAGCGAGCGAGCGAGCGAGCGAGAGAGAGAGAGAGAGAGAGAGAGAGAGAGAGAGAGAGAGAGAATGAGCTTGTTGATGAAGTGCAGCAGCCTCGCCGCAGACGGGATGTTAGTGATTACAAATCCAAATAAAATATCTCTGTTATGCAACCAGACGTATGGTACCTGAAAAAAAAAAAAAAAAAAAAAAAAAAAAAAACCTGCCTCAGACATTCTGTAACCACTGACCAAACAAACAGTGGGGTGCATTCATTTATTTGGTTTGAGGTTGAGTTGTAAGAAACTAGTAGAGCGCAGGCCGCATGCTAACAAAACGTTTAAAAAAATAAAGTTAATGGAGCGTCGTATTTTTGCTTGTTTATCCAACCTGACTCGAGCAGACAATTTTCTAGCTCATAGAAAACGACGTGGGACGACGGGATTATTCTCTGGGATGGAGAATTGGGGGCCAGCGGGGGCAGGTTCTCTTGTTTTCCCATGAATAGCAAAAAGAGGAAATAAATACTGAAAACTGACAACCCTTATGGAACGCCATCTATTCCATTCATATTATCCATTAGCAAGCAATTTCATTTAGGGAAGGATCGATAGAGAATCACTGCCAGTTGTGCAGATGAACATCTCGAACCGCTGCACAATGGGGGACGCGGCCGAGAGCGCCTGAATTGGATATGAAAGAATCTGGCGGCTGAGCACCGCACATCGCCTGATGCATTACAACAGAAACCTGCAAAACCGTGTTGGGTTTGGGGCTAAAATATAATATACTGTTTTATTTATTTAGCTAGTTAGTTTGACTGAACCACAAAAACATGGTGGGATTGTCAAGGTAGTAGCCGACGAACTTTGTGCGTCCATCGTCTCTTTTTCTCTTTCAAATGGGCCAAGCATTCCTTTTAAGGATTGGCCAGATTTCTCTCCTTAATCCACTGAAATAAAAACAGCTCCCATTGAACAGTTGGAAACGATTCAGGTATTTGTATCTGTGACCATTTGAAAGTGCATGTTTTCATCTGGACACAGCAGCTGACTCTTCCTCTTCAGCTTGCTCCAAGTGGATAAAAATGTGTTTGCCAACCCTTTTGCACGCTACTAAACCCGGAAAAACTGCATTTAATGTTTTTAAGGGTATGACGATGATGATGATGATGATAATGATTATGATTTTTTTAAATTACTTTGCATAATAGATTACAAATCTCATTTTGAATTGATTTGATATTGATTAGGTCTCCATGTGCTTGTGAACTCCGACTTCCTCCAACATTCCCAAAACATGCAAGTTATGAAACCGAAAGCTCTAAATTGTCCATAGATTTGAACATGAGTGTGCACCACCTCTTCCCGAAAGTCAGCTCTGTGTGTGAGTGTGGGTGTGTGTGTGTGTGCTCTACAAGTCCTGCTCCAGCCATTATATGGGGTGTGTAGGTGTGTGTGGTCCACATTCAGCATTTTCAACCACCAGCAGATGTTCGGATGACCACCATGATGGTTGGTATATTTATCATGTGCCCATTCATGTGTGTGTGCGCGCATACGTGAGTGAGTGAGTGACCATACCACTTCAAGGGGAACGTGTTTTATAGTTATGGAAATCTAGCAAGATAAAGACCACCACTAACCGTTTGCAGATCATTTGGCACTGCTGCCAATGATATTGCTTCCCAAGTTTTTAACAAGGAATGAATAAATGAATAGCAGAAATGACATTCTTTTATTTTGGAAGATAGATATGACCTCTAAACCCTTTGGGGTCAAAGTCCATGTCCCATTAATTGTGTGCACATGTGATGGTACCATTTAAAGCGGAGTGGCCACTGACTGGTACAAAAGTTACAGGAGCCACATGATGGGAGCCGGTGAATGTGTTCTTATTTCCTAGCAGTTTTCAACACTTTGCCGGCGCTCAACCATCTGCGATGGTGACTCAGGTTTTCCAAACAGGCCTGAGGGCCAGCATGGCTTTAGCGACGCCCAAGTTCAGGGACCTAAGTAAATATTTGTCACTTTTGGATCAACGTTTCAAACTCGTTTCTGTGGCTGACAGAACAAAGAAAAGCCACAGAAGAATAATATCCTCATAGCCATAAATTATTCAAAAGTTACAGAGGCCAGGCAAAGTATTAGCGAGGGTCCTCTGCGCGGCACATGACATTTGGGAAACGTGGGCGTTCGGAAGGACATTGTGTCATCTACCAAAAATGAAATTAAGACTCCTTTTCTCACTCTATATCTTACATTTGACATGAATAAGTCTTTACTATGCACTGATTTACTCAGACTAAGGCGTACGTCTATGTACTCAGCATCTGCTTTGGGTTCCGTCACCACTCGGGGGAATCAGCAACAATTTCAAGACCTCATCATTCAAAGGTATATTTTTCTTTAAAACCATTGTCACCTTTTCAGGTAGTTTTGTTCAAAGACATAATTTTGAAGTGCTTTCTCAATATTTTATTACCGACTCTTTTTTGGTACATTGGAAGTTATTTCTATATGTCTGAGAGATTTCATAATTTTTTTGCACGTCATTTTACAATTTTGTGATTGTTTTTGCAGGTTATCAGACCAAAAACAATGAACTAGATGACACCTTTATATTGCATTGTATACGGGTATATATTTGTTACTTTTAGTAGACCTGGTTAATATTGAACAATCACTTATTTTGAATGCCGTGTAAATCATCAATCACTTGAAGCCATAATAGGTACATGAATAATCAAGAATCAATATTATTGGCAAAAAAATAGAGCGCCCCAGAATGGAACTTCCGCTGTCGTCACCATTGTGAAATTTTCGGACGTGACCACTATGCCATCTAGAGGTGATGGAACATCATGACAATGTACGCATGACTCAACTCAAAGCTTGTGGTGGCGTCAACAAACAGAGCAAAGGAATTTCAAACTGGTTGATGTTGGTTTCTCTGAAAAAAATGTGTTGTATGAACTTATGGGACGTTCTCG